TATTCTATGATAAACCAAGTAGCAACATTAAATGTACGAATAAATTATGCAACAATGCCAGAATTAAATCTTTTGTACCAATTCTGATATTTTATCAAAAAAATGACACGAGTTAAAATTCATTATTAAACAGGCAGGAAATGTGCAAACGTTGATTTTATAGGGATAACAAAAATGTATACTAAAAACTGCAGATACCTACCGAACATTCCCGATTTCATGACTAAATGTCAGTCCTTTTTATTATGAATGATACTGCAGTAAACTGCCACAGAGGGGAGTGTTTATACATAAAAGACACGTTTGGAGCAGCAGAAGTAAATATCGAGAGTGCATTCATAGAAAGTATACGATTAAAAATACAATTAAAAGGAAATAACTGCCTCATCGTGGGGTATTTTACAAAGATTCAGTTTTGAGGAAAAAAGATAAGAAATATCGAACATGGCAACGATAAGTATAAACAACAGCCGATGAAAAATACAAGGAATTTGCTAGAATTACAAACCAGTTAAAAATGGAAAATAATCAAATCTAAAAGAGAATTAGAAAAAATTCCCAGGATATACAAAATCAACAACGATATTCTAAAATACGTTCATACAAAAAGAAGAGTAATGAATGGAATCTCGCACTTAAATCCTGGATGGAAGTGTCCAAAAGACGACAGTAAATGATAAGGTGAAAGTAGAATAATTATCACAAAGAGAATCACCACAGTGTAACAGTCGATCTTCAAAGGTGTAAATCGGAAGGACCAGTATTTACAACGGAAACATTCGAAAATCTTCTGACCAATCCCCAGGACAATATAAGGTACATCCCAAGGTTTTGAAGTAATTACTCAAAATATTTGTGTAACTCTGTCATATATTTTCAACAAATCACTTACCTCTGGCAAACTACCGCAACTGTAGAGAGAAGCAAACACATCACGGTTATTTTTAAGAAAGGTTGTGACTACGATGCAGGTACGTTCAGGCCAGTCAATTTAACCAGTGCAGTTGTTAAACCTTTAAAATGGACGGAAATTACTTGTCCAGTAGTAACAACACGGCTTTACATCGGGGAGGTTAATAAAGTTACAACTTTTAATGGTGTTGGAAAAATGGGCGCAAATTATTGATAAAGATGGTCAGCTGGACGTGGTTTATATAGATGGGTTGTATTAATAAAGATGGTCAGTTCGACGTAGTTTATATAGACAGGTGTTATTGGTAAAGACGGTCAGCTGGACGTGGTTTATATAGACGGGTGTTATTGATAAAGACTTTCAGCTGGACGGGTGTTATTGATAAAGACGGTCAGCTGGACGTGGTTTATATAGACAGGTGTTATTGGTAAAGACGGTCAGCTGGACGTGGTTTATATAGACGGGTGTTATTGGTAAAGACGGTCAGCTGGACGTGGTTTATATAGACGGGGTTTATTAATAAAGAAGGTCAGCTGGACGTGGTTTATATAGACGGGTGTTATTGATAAAGACGGTCAGCAGGACGTAGTTTATATAGACGGGTGTTATTGATAAAGATGGTCAGCTGGACGTGGTTTATATAGACGGGTGTTATTGATAAAGACGGTCAGCTGGACATAGTTTATATAGACGGGTGTTATTGATAAAGACGGTCAGCAGGACGTAGTTTATATAGACGGGTGTTATTGATAAAGATGGTCAGTTCGACGTAGTTTATATAGACGGGTGTTATTGATAAAGACGGTCAGCTGGACGTGGTTTATATAGACGGGTGTTATTGATAAAGACGGTCAGCTGGACGTGGTTTATATAGACGGGTGTTATTGATAAAGACGGTCAGCTGGACGTGGTTTATATAGACGGGTGTTTTTGATAAAGACGGTCAGCTGGACATAGTTTATATAGACGGGTGTTATTGATAAAGACGGTCAGCTGGACGGGTGTTATTGATAAAGACGGTCAGCTGGACATAGTTTATATAGACGGGTGTTATTGATAAAGACGGTCAGCTGGACGTGGTTTATATAAACGGGTGTTATTGATAAAGATGGTCAGATGGATGTTGTTTATATGGACGGATATTGTTGATAAAGGTTATCAGCTGGGCGTTGTTTACATGGACGGAAATTACTAAAAGGTAGTCAGGTAGACGTAGTGTATATGGACGAATATCATTTTCGATAAGGTTTCCTGTTTGACATGTTGGGACCCGGAATAAATTCAGTTGCGGATTGAGAACAATGAATGTTCAGACTAGCAAGTCAAATGAACCATCTGAGACTGATGCATCTGTGTTATGTTGGGTGCAAGATCTGTATATAGACGTGCTTAGGGCTATTGGTTTGTCCCGGAAAAAATTGTTACATCGATTCCTTGGGAAATAACGCAGTATAGTTGGCACTGTCAACGCTCTGTAGAACGGTTCGTTATGTACATATCAGAGTGAAGATGGAAACAAAACTTAAGGAAGTGTTTTGTCATTAAATGGTATTGTTTTTTAATATTTGTAGTGTGAGAAAAGGAACGCGTATATTACTGTGGATATTGATTATCTGTCAAGATCCATGCCGACATCAGGAGAACGGTCTCTGCAGGAGTCAATATTATAGAGACTGGCACTACCTCATGGTGTTAAATGGTAAGTTGGTCCACATGTCTGTACAAACTTCGGTAAACGTCAGGATTAACAACCTTACCCGCCATAAGCTATTTTGCCATTCCACCAGTCGTCCGGCTGTTCCGTCAGTGTGTACAACGTCCAATGAATGACGATGATTATTGTTTTAAAGTAGCAGAAGCAGGGATATCGAGGATGATTCAAAAATTCTTTCGGTAGGGCGGTATTATAATAAGAAAATGATATTTGAATATTCGTTTTCGCGTTTGTAAGATATTTTTCAAGAGCGTTTAAATTAAGTTTTCTCTTTCAACTGATTGCCCAAATTTCATTCTGATTAGAGTTCTGTCAGCTTAACTATAAAAGATATTATTAGAGCTTAAAGTACAATTCAGTTAGGTCATCCCTAACCATGTAAGTCATAATGTAGATATAATATTTTTCATTTTGGTTGTTGATTTGTGTGTAAACTGCATTTTAAAAAATGATATACATGTATTTCACCATAACGCGCTTCCACTGACGTAATTTAAAAGATCTGTTAAAATGCAGTTTACACACCATCAATAAACAAGAATGTATATTTTAAAGTACATTTGTAAGCAATAACAAACGTATGACCATGACTAGAGAGGACACATATCACACTCACCATGACTAGGGAGGACACATATCACACCCACCATGACTAGGGAGGACACATATCACACTCACCATGACTAGGGAGGACACATATCACACCCATCATGACTAGAGAGGACACATATTACACCCACCATGACTAGAGAGGACACATATCACACTCACCATGACTAGAGAGGACACATATCACACCCATCATGACTAGAGAGGACACATATCACACCCACCATGACTAGAGAGGACACATATCACACTCACCATGACTAGGGAGGACACATATCACACTCACCATGACTAGGGAGGATACATATCACACTCACCATGACTAGGGAGGACACATATCACACTCACCATGACTAGGGAGGACACATATCACACCCATCATGACTAGAGAGGACACATATTACACCCACCATGACTAGAGAGGACACATATCACACCCACCATGACTAGAGAGGACACATATCACACCCACCATGACTAGAGAGGACACATATCACACCCACCATGACTAGAGAGGACACATATCACACCCACCATGACTAGAGAGGACACATATCACACCCACCATGACTAGAGAGGACACATATCACACCCACCATGACTAGAGAGGACACATATCACACTCACCATGACTAGGGAGGACACATATCACACTCACCATGACTAGAGAGGACACATATCACACCCATCATGACTAGAGAGGACACATATCACACCCACCATGACTAGAGAGGACACATATCACACTCACCATGACTAGAGAGGACACATTTCACATCCATCTTGACTAGAGAGGACGCATATCACACTCACCATGACTAGAGAGGACACATATCACACCCATCATGACTAGAGAGGACACATATTACACCCATCATGACTAGAGAGGACACATATCACACTCACCATGACTAGAGAGGACACATATCACACTCATTATGACTAGAGAGGACACATATCACACTCACCATGACTAGGGAGGACACATATCACACTCACCATGACTAGAGAGGACACATATCACACTCACCATGACTAGAGAGGACACATATCACACTCACCATGATTACAGAGGACAGATACCACACTCACAATGACTAGAGAGGACACATTTCACACTCACAATGACTAGAGAGGACATATATCACACTCACCATGACTAGAGAGGACACATATCAAACCACCCATGACTACAGAGGACACATATCACACTCACAATGACTAGAGAGGACACATATCACACTCACCATGACTAGAGAGGCTATATGTCACACTCACCATGACTAGAGAGGACATATATCACACCCACCATGACTAGAGAAGACACATATCACACTAGCCATGACTACAGAGGACACATATCACGCTCACAATGACTAGAGAGGACACATATCACACTCACCATGACTAGAGAGGACACATATGCACTCACCATGACTAGAGAGGACACATATCACACCCACCATGACTAGAGAGGACACATATCACACCCACCATGACTAGAGAGGACACATATCACACCCACCATGACTAGAGAGGACACATATCACACTCACCTTGACTTGGGAAGACTCCGGACAGTAGAACCAGATATAAAATGGCAAAATGGGAAGACTTCATCCTTATGAAATCTGCCAAGACAACATCAATTAAATAATAATATTATTGTTTTCAGCGAAAGCATGGTTTTATCGTTGACGTCATTAAAAGGCTTGAATGATGATGCTGAAGATCAGTTATTGAGTATATGATTGTGATGAAACTATGAGAATCTGTGATGGGACTCTGCGTATATGTGATTGGACACTGAGTATCTATGATGGGAATATGTGGACATTTGATTGGACTCTGAAGATCTGTGATGGGACTATAAGGATTTGTAATGGCAGTCGGATTATCTGTGACGGGACTCTGAGGATCTGTGATGGGACACTGAGGATCTGTGACGGGACACTGAGGATCTGTGATTGGACTCTGAAGATCTGTGATGGGACTATAAGGATTTGTAATGGCAGTCGGATTATCTGTGACGGGACTCTGAGGATCTGTGACGGGACTCTGAGGATCTGTGATTGGACTCTGAAGATCTGTGATGGGACTATAAGGATTTGTAATGGCAGTCGGATTATCTGTGACGGGACACTGAGGATCTGTGACGGGACTCTGAGGATCTGTGATGGGACTCTGAGGATCTGTGACGGGACACTGAGGATCTGTGATGGGACTATAAGGATTTGTAATGGCAGTCGGATTATCTGTGACGGGACTCTGAGGATCTGTGATGGGACTCTGATGATCTGTGACGGGACACTGAGGATCACCAATTGGTCTCTGATGATCCTTTTAGGTGGGGAACGAATACTTATCTTTTCATCTTCTACTTTTCCTTTGTTGTTCTCTGTTGACTCTCGCGCATCTATGACAAAGTTTTAAAAAGAGTCGAATCGACTAGTGTGTTAACACCAGTTAATGTGCGTATTTAAACCAACCACTTCGACCTGTTTCCACTTCATTGTTTTCAAATCTCGTCGCACTATTTCCCACCTAAGTGAACACACGATTATACAACACTCGCAAAAAATGTAATTTTATTACTACCTCGGATACTATATATCTCAGTGCAAAAACGTTTCACATAAGTTTTTTTTTTCTGATAAAGTGACACTGTAGTTATCGAAACGTCACACTTATCGTTACCAGGAGTTCAGAAACATTTCTGGCATCGCGATCGACTTGCCTTTACCACGAAATGACACCTGTTTAATAGTCATCACCATAAAGTGTATCGCCTTATGAACAATAAGAGTTGAAATGTGCACATAACGATATATTGTCTGGATATTAATTTCTGTCGTCATGATAACCCATACGCACAATACATTGTCGCTTGAAAAATGGCTTCACGCCTAAATCGGTTGCGACCATGTTAGCGATTGATATAACTTATTCCGTAATTCCAAATTGACTCAGAGCTATCAAATAACACCCACAACAAAATCCTTCGCTGGAAAACGGGATTTTACTTACTATGTCATTACTGTTACTGTCATTTATACCCGCCATCACGTGTTTACAAAATGGACCGCCTCGTTTTCGGTTCGGTTTCCCAAACTAAAGAAGTAGTCAAACTAGACATTGGAAATCGACTTCGAAAATCGGGATAGTATAGAAACGTATATGGAATTGTATACAAGAACAATTACTAACAAAATTAAGGTTTTTACCGTTATATCCCTTTAAAACACGAAATGAAATATATAAGATGTAATAAAGAGTCCCATCGATCGAATGTAGAGATCAGAACACGAAATTAAAAAAAAAAATCAGAACACATCGATCAGAGATTGTTTTGAATCTAAACCGGTTGATATGGTCGATGACGTTACAGACATCTTTTAATGCCAGATGAAATTCTATGATTTACGGTCGAAGGGAGATAACTCCTATATCAGTCAAACATTCGTCCATCGTATAGTTTTAACTTACCTTATTTCATCTATTACGTAGAGTATTATTCGCTAGTCTATTTCATTGACACTTTACTCAGTCTTATGTCAAAATTAAACGTTTTACCATTTCGTTCACTTTTCAGTAAGTTTTATTCACTCTAGGCTTTTTAATTTTATTCACTATAGGTTCATCCTGATTTACCATATGTATTACTTACAGACTGTTTCTGTATGAAGTTATACTAAGGTAATCAATCGATTGTTTCGAGACTAACAGAGAAACCCAGCCTATTTCTGTAATTTTTTTTATCTTACTCTTTCAACAACGAGTCATAACAAGTATTGCTATCAGTAATGGGTAACAATACCTACAACAGCTATGGGACGCACGTGGAAATATAGTCCCACACTTCAAGTGATATAAAAAAATTAAATCTTATGAGTTTTCGAAGATAAATTTGCTTACTACAGCAAATAAAACTGCGCGCTTAAAGCTGAGTTGTTTAAATTTCTAAATGTAATATTTAAATAAGTCAGAGAGTAATTATATCCAATTAATTGCACGTGCTAACATGCAGCTTTTTTTCTGTTATTGTCTAATACAGCACAAATATATGTGGCAATTATATTCCGACAAGTTGAAAGATATGAATAAAGAATATATGATCAGTGTCTTAGATATAAACTGTAGGGCCTATTTTTGCGAGGGCGAAGAAGGCCGACAAAAGTGACGTGCTTATGACGCGCCACCTCTGTCTTTCTGCCGTATACAGCCAAATTATATTTTGGCGGGTGTTTTCCGACAATGACAGCGCCAGTTGCAGGTTAAAAAATATTCATAGTAAACATATTCATGAACATATATGATATACTACAAAAAATAGGCCTATGTGACACTGACAAACAATTTATACGCATTATTTATTGTCAGAATATATATTATAGCAGGAAGAAAGAAAGAAATGAAATAAATAAATATGTAAATTAATTAATTGATTAATTAACTTGCTATTTCACCACTTGTTACTATATAACCGAGGACATAATATTGATGTTGGCCTAGTTAGGTCTAACATCTGAAATGTTATTAAGAAGATTATGAGAAAAAAAACCACAAAAAAATACAAAAACACACAAGAATTTATTTTTTCACATATTACAATGAATACCAATACAATCAAATCTAGATCTAGACTTCAAAAACATTCAGTGAAATGCCTCTGAAAATGGAGAACAGTGTGGTTTGCCAAACACTGAGTCTACTAAGCCTAGCGTTGTCTAAATTATTCATAATTCCCGGGTAAAACTTTTTACCCATAATGCACAGTAAACTTTGCGAAGTTGTGTGAGTGATGGCGGACAGGGCTCGAGCTGTGAAAACGCTCTCGGCAAGTTCGCGGAGTTGTGGCTCAGTGTGTACCATGGGCGCGATGGTGAGACCCGTACTGATTGTTTTATGTGTTGGGATTATGACCCATGTCGCTTTAGGAGACGAAGGACTAGATTTAGACCAGATAGAACGTGAAAATGTAGCCGCAGGCAGCCGTGATTGTTACGATGCCAATGGAAAGCCACAACGATGTATGCCAGTGTTTGTAAATGCTGCTTACAATTTAGATGTGGAAGCTACCAATACGTGTGGTGTCACCAGGCCCATAGAATACTGTCTACAAACGGGTGCTACTCGGGTGAGGAAATCATGCCATACATGTAACGATGCGGTCCCAAATCTTCGGCATCCTCCCCACTTCATGACTGACTTCAGCAACGACCAGAATTGGACATGGTGGCAATCAGAGACTATGTTACAAGGCATGCAGTACCCTAACCAAGTCAATCTAACCCTGGACCTCAGTAAGTATTCATTTAAACTTCGTACGAAAGTCTGTTCATACTACATCACCTGCCTAGTAATGTAACCAGACCTTGATCCCCATTTCCCCTTTATTCTGACAAAATCCCGTGTATGAAGTCTGCTATTTATTTTGACAATACTATCTCTCTGGCAATCTTTGCTAGTCCTGGATTAGTTTTATCTGTAGAGCACTGTAAACCCCCGCCAGGGATCAGGAGTCTGTAGAGTTAGCAAGCTAAAACTCCATAGAATACTGCAATGCTTCAGTGTTTACAGTTGTATTAATTCATATTCTAATGTTCATGATTGGTTGAACTAGTGGATGAAATGTGACTGCAACATTTTAGAAAAAAAGTTTCAGATATATCTTTCTCAACACATATCTTATCCAAGTTTTAAAACCATTATAAAAATCCTTCACAAATCATTGACTCTCTGACATTGCTAAAAATTTAGAATAACATAGTTTTTTTTTCTTTCTCACACAAGATATTGTCCATGAAACTTTTTCATGTGATCAATGATTTTCATGAAATGAATGAGCATTTTCATCTTAACATTTACCACCTGTCATTTTTCTTTTAAATAACCATTTGTCAGATTGTGATAGATTTTGTCAGACTCTGAGTGTGGTCTTGTACTTGTCCAAATATACTGTGTAAGGAAAGCTATAGATTTTGGTTCATTGACATGACAAGGTTCTAGTTTTCAAAATCTGCTCATTACATCCTAAAGCTTAAAAAGTTAAAAACACAAATTTATCAATTTGGTTGTTTGTCTGTACAGCATATGCTATGGTTTCTAAATATTGGCACAAAAAAAAATACATAATGGATACATACATAATAATTTTGTCTTTTCTATATTGAAGGTAATTTTGAATTAGTCTTGGATTTATGTTAAACTTCATTTTAACTCTTCTTCTCCCAAACTTCTTGAGTATTTAAACTGACTTCCATTTTTCAACGTTGTCCAAGATATATACCTTTAATAACAAGAAGATGGTAATCTGTAAATTTTCTTTGTCTAAATCTTTGAACCATAATTTGGAGAACGTGACATGAGTGTATCATTATTATATTTTTGTAAGAAAGATTAAATGTAAGAGCTATACAGTGTTATGGACTAAATTTCATAGAGATTGTAGGATTTTGTAGATAACTCATATCTTTAAGATCTTTCCACTCGATTAGAGGCTTCAAGGTGTTAGGAATTGGAGAAGAAGGGTGTAGATTTTGACTTAAGTTGAGAACTTGAGAGACAGCTCAAATTTATGCCATAATTAGGTGAATGTTTACAATTACTAGGGCCATCTGTGTGCTGTCAAGCCAGAAGGCATGAAGGGGTTGGTTAGGTACAATTATATATAATAGAACAGGTGTGTGTACCCATTACGGCCTCTACACATGATTTTCTTCATCCTGTCCCTCTTAGTCTTAAGATGCTGGATAAATCAACCTTCACTTTTTTTGGTGTATTCTAACATTAGAACACATCTTTATATCTAAGGTCAATATTTCATGAATATTACACAAAATAACACAGCATACATTAGATTATCAGAGATATATCATGCAGTTATTGAAATATGTTTTTACATTTCTTTTCTAGTTTGAACTGTAAGTTTGTCAGTTTCAGAATTTCAATGTAACAAACTCTTAATATGATCAATTCACTGATTTTATGATAAATGTTAAGCTGGTTTAGCGTCTTTGGTGACCCTGAACCCTTTTTTGTGAACCACTGGTGCCATCCCTTGTAAACAGAGTTAACACCCTTCATTTTATGTCTAAGCCATAACATACTCAATTTCATGTTTAGAATCTGTGAATCTGGTGTAGTTCTTATTGCCACCTAAATGGGACTGAGTTGATGCCAATTTTCCCATAAATGTTGTGACAGGTGTTAGTAATATTTGTCTTGGTTTTAATACAAAAGCATCATGCAGAAAAAGGAAAACAAGTCCAGACCAAAAATACAGTTGTTAATGATAAAATTAACATATATCAGAAAGTTAATGAAGACTCCTAGATTGGATATTGTCAGTAGGACTTGATGTTGAAATTGATTTTTTTCATATACATTAGATAGTTTGTAATTTGTAGATATGTAATACAGAAAGATAATACATTGTTCATTTGAAACCTCTGGGTTAGATTTTAACCTGAAACTGGTAGCTTAAAAGTTTCTTTTAATCGATGAGAAATTTTTTGGTGAATGCTGTAACACAAGACTTTCATTGAAAGGACCATTGAAATGTGGGTCAGCCCTCTAGTAAAGCACTGATAGTCATCTGGGAGGTCTCTTGTGTGTATCATTATAACTTTACCCTAACAATAGAAGAAATCTAGGTATTGTTGTTATTATTATAAACACGGTGAATTTAAACACTTCTACTGGTAGTCTTGTTTTACAAAACAGTTCTTATACATGTATTCACTATATCTGATGTATATATACATGGTAACCTGACTGCGATCAGTTATTTTTAATAAAAACCTAAACAATAGTAAGTAGGCTTTACATGTGTTCAAACAACATCAAGTATCTGTTTAAATTAATGAATAGACTAATTAATAATTAACACTTGCAGACTGGTGTTTAGAAGTCTGCTAGGTAAAGAGAGTATATTTTGTCAACATCTGTAGACATGTCTATTGAAGACGAGACAGAGTGATGTGATTCCATGGCCATGTATAATCAGGTCAACTAATCATGATTGGTCACCATACACAACTGACACCATTAGTGGTACCAACTTTACTCACAAGGTCATACACCCGAACAGTAGAAATACAAGCACTGTCATCACCAGGCCATACACCTCTGAGATTAGGGGTACATACCAGCTTTCTATCACCAAGTCATACACCCCTGACTATAAGAGTAATATCTCTGTCATAACCAGATCATACCGGGTACACACTGACTGTAGGGGTACCAGATATGGTTACCAGGTCATACACATCAGACTGTAGGGGTACCAACTCTGTCATCACTAGGTCATACACCCTTGACTATAGGGGTACCAGATCATACACCCCTGACTGTAAGGGTACCAGCTCTGTCATCATCAGGTCATACAACCTTGACTATAGGGTTACCAGGTCATACACCCCTGAGTGTAAGGGTACCAGCTCTGTCATCACCAAGTCATACACCCCTGACTGTAAGGGTACCAGCTCTGTCATCACCAGGTCATCAACTGTAGAAGTAGTAGGGGTACCTGTGATTACCAGCTCAGATCACCAGGTCCTACACACCTGACTGTATAACCGTACCAGTTCTGATCAAATGTAGGTGAGATTTATTTCTCAACTCTTTATTGATATTAAACACAGTGCTGACCTCATATACTGAGACCGCAGTTATATGTACAGTAGGTCAACACTGGTCAGTGCAACTTTGGGTGTGGTTTGGAGTATAAACCTAGGCTTGTTAAACGTGTAGATTGATAATTTAAGTCCTATACAGATACAGACATAAAGTAAATTCTGGGGGATAAATATTCATTGATGGTAGCTCAGTTTGTCATGTCAGTTGGTGTAAAAATGGTGATTTATAGCTCTTTAGTCATCAGAAATGTCCTGATTGGCATGTGGTAATATATACATAATGGTATAACAGATTGACCTAATTTCTGGATATAACAGGTGTCATGTGTAAGAGGTTTATTGTAGATATTGCAGTAATATGCCCACTCAGACATGTAAATGACAGGAATATCAGGCGATTTCTCTCCCACACATCCTCTGTTGTGTGCCTGCATCAGTCTACCACAGAACACATGTATGCCAGTAGACTAGACTTGTTGGTCATTCATGCTCACTATTTATACCCTTGATGGTAATGCCAGTTTCACTACAGTGATGATGGACAGACCGGTCAAGTACATTGACTGTAATGCATGTTTGACACTAATTGTAACAACTTAGAGCAAGTGTCCAGACTGATACAACTCTCTTGATCTACTCTACATGTTGTTTTGTCCAGTTGGACAGGACAGTGATCTGTCTTCAATGTCTGTCTACAGAATGTATTACAATAGATTTACTGATGCAGAAGGCTCCATCCAACCTTAATGTCATTGGTGGGTTTACTGTACATAACCAAATCAGAACTGGTCATCTGTAGTGTACCAGGATGTATACCGACAAAGCAGCTTGGATCTTCATGGCCTCTAACTTCTAAAGTGATACCTGTACTATATGTTTACTGTATGAATGGAAGTGAAAGGTACAACATAAAGAGGAACTGTAGGATATATTTGATAAAATTGGGTACCATGGGGATGATGACCAGATTGAAATATCCTACAAGTATATGTGTCCATTGCTTCATACCGTAGTTGATCAATGGGGATGGGGTGTTACCTGTTTGACACCTGACCATGAAATGTTATATATCCTATTCTACCTTGATATGAAATATGAAATTGTATACACTGGTATCCTCTTACAACCACATAAATATATAGAAGGAGTTGTACTTACAACAAACTTTTTATGATGTGGTAGAATAAAAGATTGGTAAATTATTTATCATTAATTGTTGCAGGTAAATCTGAGGATTATGTTAAATGATTACATCACCTGTATAATTAGTGAAATAAAACAGGTGTGTTCATACAGGCGAGACGTCCTGGCCCCATTTAGTGGGATCAGGTGATGTGTCGCCAGGTATGATCGTGTGATTGTGGTATGTCAGCCGATTCTTCAGGTTTAAACTCATTATGTTCTGAATTTTGTAGTGAGTGGTGTGCGGATTGGTTTTGTTTATAGGTGAAAATAGATCCCTGTTAAGTCAATTCATCAGTAAAGGATAACCTGACTAGTTATAACAAATGAAAGTTTTTTTTGTGTTTTTAGATTAATTTTAAATCTATGCTACTGTTAAATGATAAAAAAAAGAAAGGAAAAGTAGTTGAAAATAAATTAAGACTTTTTGCCCTTAAACCAAAAGAACAACATGTACTGCAGTTGATAGTGAAGTAGATACC